AGCCTCCTCACACCGGCCCACTGACTTATTCAGAGTAACACCCTGGGAACAGCTCTGACTTTACTGGGGTCCAGACTCCTGCTCTGAGCTTTCCCTCCAAGGGACTGTCACGCTGTGCAGCAGTTTTAAAAGTCAGAGCAGCGCTGCTGGGCCACGCAGGCAGAGAGGGTGCAGCGGGCACCTGTCATCTCGGCTGGGCCATCCAAGGGCATAGGTGACAACTGGCATCCTCTATGGGGCTTGATAGGCCTGTGTGTGTCCCAGGGACACATGTCCAGCTGCATCTAGATGAGTGCTGGTCCCTGTGGAAGCGTGTATTCGTCCCCCGCCTCAGTGGCACAAACCCCAGTGATGTGGACACACGAGCCGGCACACACAGCGCTCACTCCAGAGAGAGGGCTCCTGTCAGAAAAGGACCTGCACAGGGTCCTCACCGCACTGATGCGGGGACCCTCCCAGGGGAGAGAGGGCAGCCTTGTCCAGTTCCAGACCTCAGGGAGAGGCCTTCCCCATCTAACCGCTGGGTGTAACGCTGGCTGTGAGTATTCGCGTGATGCCTTTGTCAGGCCGTGTTCCTAGTATGATGCTGGGATCGAACTGTGTCCAATGCTTTTCTTCATCTGTTAAGACAATCATGTTTCCCTTCTCCATTTGCTGCTGTGGTAATTTACATTGATAAATTAAATATTGAATCAGACTTGGATTTATAGGGTGAATCCTTAATTAGTCTCGATGTATTGTCTTTTTTATATGTTGTTGGATTTTATTTGCTAGTGTTATGTTCAGGGTTTAAAAACTATCTTTTCTTATTTCTTAATTAAACTTTTGGTTTTGAGTTTTAAAAAAGTAATTACAGGAAACTTACAGGGGTAATTATTTCCCAGTAAATGTATGTCAAGTCATTGCCTGGTTTACCTTAAATTTATACACAGCCGTATTTCAAGTGTATCTTAATTAAAACGGAAGAAATGGTAGTTACGCACATATTCACACCACAACCCCCAGCAGACGCACCTCACATAAACATACCTTTAATTTCACACTCAGGGCACAATGACATATCTGACACATTTCTGTAAAAACTCCTCAGGCACACACACACACACACACAAATACACAAACTCTCGTACACACTAATCACAACACAATACCAACCCCCCACACACTCACACCACACTCACACAAGCAGGCACACTCAGGCACATTCACACCACACATACCCGAGCACCATCCTGCCTAGGACAGTGACCCCAGCACGTACCTCCCACACAGGCATGGAATGTGTCTCTACCCATACCTCCCTTACAGGAATTTCCCACCAGCTGGAACACAGGGATGGTGGCAGGGTCAGGGAGAGTGACAGGCGTGGCCACGGTGAGAAACCACCCTGTCCCCCTTCTCACATTCAGCCCACACTCACCGACGTAAGAAAGCCTTCATCGTCAGCGGTTCGGGCGTCTCATCCAGTTGGGCCTCCCCTGTAACAATCTGACCCAGCTACAAGGGAGAGGAGGTGGCTTGGCCCACAGCCAGGCGTTGAGGACCCAGCAGGTCCCATCCCAGGAGACACGCTCCTGCCTCCTGCCATGTTAGACTCCAAGGGCCACCTCCTGGCATCTGCCAGCAGCCCATCATTAGAGACCGGGAAGCCCCCCGCCCACACCTCTGTGTGTAGGTCTGCACAACACTCGTTGCTCATCTGCAGGGGCTGTCTGCTGTCTGAACACTGGGGTGGGCAGAGGGCCTTCCTCGGGGTGACCCTGGGACAGCTGCCTTTGAAAGCTTTCCCCAGCTGGTTTACCTGTTCTGAATTACCTGGTCTCTCTGATAGTCTTTTACACCCAGACAGTAAACCTTGGCCTTCATATTCCGAGCCCTGTTAGCCTAAGAGAAAGAAAGGCTTTGAGAATAAAACACACAAGCACACGGAGCACAAAGCTGGTGATGATGGACTGGACTCACCTGGCTCTTGGGTTCCCATAAAGGTGTTGGCAGGAGTGGTCCAGCGGCCACAGTGAACATCAGGCTGGCAGCCTTCCTGTCTGCAGAAGCAGGGAGCTGGTCAGCAAGGCACTGGAGGGCCCCGCCTCAGGCTGCCAGGCCCACAGCGCTGCTCCCCACACCCCTCCCTGGGGAGAGGCCCCCCCGACCCCAGCATCCGCCATCCAGAGCGCCTGGAGGGAGAAGGGGCCGAGGCCCAGGACCCACCTGACAGATGAGGAGGCTGAGAGCGGCTCAGAGCTCTTCCTGGTGAACCCTCACTATGACCAGATGGCACAGCCTTGGCCCTGAAAGGCCGCTCCAGCGACCTCCCTGGACGAGGACCAGCCTTTCAGGTGAGCAAAGGCAGGAGCTGGGCTCCGGCCCGGGTGGCGCCTGCGGCCTTTCCTGCAGGCTCTGTGGGGTCTGCCATTCAGGACTCGAGGTCAAGGCGCTTGGACAGCAGCCCCCACCCAGCTGCCTGCCTTTCCCTGCAACCCATGTGTCTCTCCTGACAAGAGCCACACCCTGCAGTCCAGGTGCTGAGGGTTCAGGGCCGAGCACAGCCTTTCCCACTGGCGGAGACTGAGTCACAGGACGAGAGTCAACCCGAGGGCGGAAGCTGAAGGGAAAGGAGGTGGAGCTGGAACTGGGTGGACACAGGTGTGGGCAGCCAGGGGGACATCAAGGCCTTTGTTCCCTCAGCTGATCCCTGTCTCCTCGTGGCCCCTGTATTTTCCCTTTTCTGTCTCATGCAGCCCAACTGTAGGTCAAGCACCTCATATCTAATAAGAACCATCTGGTTCTCAGAAAGCTTCCTGGGGGTGGTTTCATCCTCACTGCTCAGAGGAGGAAGTGGCAACACAGAGAGGGCGAGGACCTCGCTCCAAGAGGCAGCGCTAGGAATTGGCCGCTCAGGACTCCTCTGCCCCCTGTCTGGTGGGCGTGATGGAAGCTACTTTGCTGGTCCCATGGGAAGGGTCTGGCTTCCAACGTGCTCACCCCTGTCTCAGGAAGGGAGATCTCAGGGACTCAGCAAGGGCCCTGCCTTGACTCTCCGTGGTGAGAGGGCGTCACCCAGGGCCGTGCACCTGGGAATCCAGTGCTCACAATGTCTCTGGTGAGGGCACATGGTCCTCCAACAGACAAGGCTGAGTTTGGAAAAAGGCATCCTGCTGACACCCCGCCCTTTCCCATCAGCCCCTGCCACGGACCCCTGAGTCCACTTGGTCCCTCCAAGCCACTTCCCCTTGAGATCCGTGTTAAGGAAGTGGCCAGGCCGCTTCATTAGAGTGCTGGGGCTCCTGGACTTCATGTGCTGGAAAAGAGGCCTGAGGGCGGTCCACGCAGGAGGAGAGCAGCGACCTCAGGCTCACCAGGATGGGCTGTCGGCCTGTATTAAAGCAGATGGTGAGGGATGGGCTGGGACACATGAGGTGGGGGATTAGATCAGGCTGATCCAGTGTGAGGACTGAGCTATCACAGCAAGATTAAGGGGCTCTCACTCTGGGCCGAAGAGATGCCAAGTTGTGGTGATATCCCAGGGCCCTAGGTCCTGCCCAGCCTGACCCAACCCAGGAGCACAGGAGCCTGAGACCCAGGGCCAGTGGAGGCCAAACCCAGCTTTGCCCACCTCAGCACAAACACCCGCCCCTCTTCTTGGCACCTGTGGGAAGATGTCTGCTTTGTCGACCGCACTTCGAATGTCACAGTCTCTGGCCCGGGACTCAGCTCGGCCAGCTTCACTCTTGCCTGAGCGGGCCTTTTTCTTGCGCTTCCCCCTGCACCCCAATCCCCACTCCCAGCTCTGCAGGTGGAGAGGACACCAGGCTGCTTATGCCCTCATCAAGCCGTTCGCTTTGTAATATATCACCCATCACAGACAGCTTCACGTCTTTTCCGTTCCCCTGAGCCCCACCCCTACTCTGACACCTTCCCTTGAGGAATGTGTCCCCACCTTCACTCTCCAGAGAGGACCTGGGAGACTCTCAAGGGCCTCCCCACAGCTCCCTTGGTTCAGGTTCTGAACCCCTACCTTGGAGGAGGCCGTGGTCCCCTCTTCCCCATGGGCAGCTCCTCCACCAGAGGCCCACGCCCAGCCCCCCGCTGCCTCTGCCTCCTGCCTCCTGCCTGACAGCTCCTCACTGACTTGTTTTCTTCCACCTCAGACTCACTCAGGTCTCTCTCTCTGAAATGCAGGCCACAGGGACA